AAAGCTATACCAGGGCTGGAGTGACAGCACAGAGGGTAGGGCACAGAGGGTAGGTGTTTGCCTTCAAGGCTGCCAACCTGGGTTCGATTCCCAGCATTCCATACAGTCCCCCGAGCACTGCCAGGAGTAATTCCTGAGCACACAGCCAGGAGTAACCCCTGAGCATCTCTGGGTGTAACCCAAAAAGAAAAAAAAAAAGCTATACCATGCTATCAGCAAAAAATACATAACTACATACAGAAAAAAAGAAAGTGCTTTGTCACTGAAAATCACTGAAAGTCTCTGCAGGGAGATCAGCACCAATTTCTTGGGGAGGAGTTTGCTTACTGTTTTTGTTTTGGGGCCACACCCAGAAGTGTTTTGGGTTTACTCCTAGCTCTGTGCTCAGGGATCACTCCTGGTGGGCTCAGGGGACCATATATGGGGTGCTGGGGATTGAACCACGTAGGCCAAGCAAGAGGCAAATGTCCTATCTGCTGTACTATGTACTCTAACCCTAGTCAGCACGTTACTTAGATGACAATAAATAAGTGTGATCAAATCCTAATTATCAAAGTCACTTCTGGAGAAATTAAGTTCTAAATCAGCCTGCAGTACATCTACATGATTCATTCTTTGAGAAGATGAGATAAAAGACAAAAGTCACGGGAAAGAATGCAAGTATCAGTCCTAATGACCCTCACCTTCATACTAGGTATTGTAAGGTTCCTTGTCAGAACAAACTGAATTCAAAACAAACATTTAAACCTCTCTTTTTGCATACTCTATGGCATCCAAAAAATTAAAGTCAAGCATAGAACCTTTAAGCTTGATTCATTTTTCAATTGTTGTTTCGGGGCACATGCTGTGCCAGGCAGGGATTGAACCTAGAGCTCCTCATGGAAAGCATGGGATCTGGCCCTTTGAAACACCTCCCTGACCACAAGTTTATTTTTATTTTGGTGATGGATGGGGGGGTAAAGGGGTTTCCCAAGCAATTCTAAGGTGGCTCTGGACCCCTTCCTGTGATTCTGGACCAATTCAAGGGCCTGAGGATGTGATGCTGCTCAGATTCTATGGGGATTTGGGGTGGAGGAGGAATGCTGGGGAATGAGGCAGGGAATTCTGGGGAGATGAGACATCCAAGACCACAGGGCAAAGTTCAGGGAATCCTCTGGAGCTAAGGATTTAATTGGAGTCAGACCAGGGTCATCTGCATACCATGCATACAACTTAAAGCTAGGATCTCTCTACCTGAAGTCTTCTGTAAAGCCAAGGAAGGTATAGAGATAGTATAAAATCTGAAACCACTTTTGTAAAACCATTATATAATTATACATATCAAGAAGATTTATAAACACAAGATCCATTCAAAATTACTAGTTTTATGTTTCTCTCTATTTTATAACAAGGCAGCACTGCACGCTAGCACTGTCCTCCCGTTGTTCATCGATTTGCTAAAGTGGGCCCAGTAACATCTCCATTGTGAGACTTGTTACCGTGTTTGGCATATCGAATACGTCACAGCAGCTTGCCAGGCTTTGCCGTGCAGGCAAAATACTCTTGGTAGCTTGCCGTGCTCTCCGAGAGGGGCAGAGGAATCGAACCCGGCTCTACCAGGCCGGCGGCTTGCAAGGCAAACGCCCTACCACTGTGCTATCGCTCAGCAAGAATCGTGTATTCTAATAACCTTTATTAAATAAGTAATTTAAATCTTTGTATCATTTTAGTAATTTCTTATAAAAATGGTAATGATTATATTATCCCCATATAAACCTATCATTGGGCTGGAGCGATAGCACAGTGGGTAGGGCGTCTGCCTTGCATGCAGCCAACATGGCCGACCCGAGTTCAATTCCTCCGCCCCTCTCGGAGAGCCCGGCAAGCTACCGAGAGTATTCGATATGCCAGACACAGTAACAACAAAGTCTCCAATGGAGACATTACTGGGCCCGCTCGAGCAAACCTATCATGCAATATTTAATGATTCTAAGCATCTCTTTGTTGATAGAGAATAAACGAGCGCTAATGACAACTTTCCTATTATTTAAAGGAAAAAATTGTTTCAGGTCAAAGATTGTCTCAAATGGTAGACCATATGCTCTGCATGTATGAGGTCCTGGGTTCAGCCATCAGTATTCTATGTAAAACCCCTACTGCAGACTACCTAGAGTGATGACCCTGGCGATCCTCTAGCACAGATGGGAGAGGAAGGCTGTTGTCCTGTCCTCACTGCATGATGTGAGGACAAAATGTGATTATTTTTGAGCAATCCAACTGATTTCCTTCCTTTACTCAACTTTTACACCAAATATAATTTACAATTATAGTATTCTTAAAAATCTTTTTTGAATATCCCTGTGTATAAAATCAGCTAAGAATACTGAGTAAAGAATCATACCATTTATTACATATCATTATGTCTTTTTTCCCTGCCTTATAGATAAAAATTGGATTTCTAAAAAATTAAATGAGTATTAGGTCAGTTAATTTAAATGAGTGGAGCCTGATGCTATTATTAAGACTAAACTGACTAGCTAACCACATATTCCACCAGATGACTTCTTCTATTGCAGGGTCACTGGCAGCAGTAGCCTCTGTTGATTAGTTCTTTGGCCACATGTAGGACTAGTCAAATGGACCAGTAGGATCAGCACAAAACCACTCTAGCTATGTTCTATTATCAACTCTTCTGTGAACAATTCATACAAGATTTATCAAGTGAGAGAGCAGCAATAATATTCTCACTGGACCCTAAAACAATCACTGAGATGTTAAAGTGTAAAAAGGAACTAACACACTATGTTGAAAATAACTGATATTTTAAAATCTAAGTCTATTCCATTCAGTAACAGAGATACTATCAATTTTCAAGTGCTACCACAAGAAAATGACTCCCAATGTGAAGATAGACTATAGTAACTTATCTGATTCAAGCAGAAAAAATAATATATGATGACAATCACTGGTCCCATTAACCTCTTAGTTTTATTAATACACATACTTTTTATGTAACAATTGTAACCAGGAGCAATTACACCTCCAATTACAATAAAAATTCTCTTCCAAAGAGAGACAATCTTGTTTCTTTGCTTACTGGTAATCACTGCAACACAATCACTTTTCCACCCTCAATTTATGTTCTGAGTTATAACTCTTTCCATTAGTATGCTGCAGGAGGTAACAGAATTAACATGTTACAGTTCTTCAGATTTGCCTTTCACAGAGATCATGAATTCCCTGAAGACAGAGACTATAGCTTCAAGACCATTAGAGCATAATCTGACACAATATATGGTATTCATTTGCTCACAGATCAGCCTCTCCTACTAATTACACTATATCTTGTAGACATTAAGTGTATATCAACACAACATATAGTGGCAAGAAACAGAAGACCTTGGAATATACATTTAGCAAAAAATTGTGCAAATGAGGGCCACAGATGTAGTTTCAGAGGTAGAGCAGATGCCCTGAATACATGAAGCCTTAAGTTTGATTCACTGTACAGGAAAAAAAGAAAAAAAGAAACTAAATCTCTGAATCTCTCATATCCCACTCTCTGCATCGCATCCTAGAAACAAGGACAATGTAATTTTTGCTTGACTCTTTGATCTAAGACACATTCTTTTCCAACTAGAAATTGCTTTCAACTGTCTTGACTTGAAGAGAAATGACTTTGCTTAAGGTTCACTCTTTTATACAAATGTTCTATAGAAGATAATATGGAGTTCAATTTACAGATAATCAAGTAAAATTTCACATATCATCCTTGATTAACTAAGCAGTTCTTATAAAATTTACCAATCTATACAGGCAACAATTCTTTTTTCAGTTTACACTATGACTTGAGAATGCTTCCCGGTATAGCTATGCTAAGAATGATACCTGGAGAGAGAAGAAGAGGTGGGAGCAAGAAAAAAGATCATACTGAAGATACAAGTTAACACACTTCTTCCATTTCCACCTTCACCCCAAGAGAATTTATAAATGGGAAGGGGAAAATGGAGGTAGAATGTGATTCAGAATTAGCCATAAAAGATGCTGAATTTGCAATCTGCACATTTTAACCCGTCCATACAAATAATTTTTAAGACCATCCCCCCCCTTTTTTTTCTTTAATCCACAGAATCATTTGCTGCATCTAGGGGTAGTTGGCTCACAATTCAGAAGGGTCTCACCTCCAGACCCATCACACGCACAGCGCTACCAGTATGAGTGCAGGGGCCAAACCAAGCATCACGGGGGAAAATTAAAATAGGGGTTCACTTCTGATTCTCACCACCCCCAAACCATAAAAATCAATGCCCCCCCCACACACACAGAGAATAATCACCAATTCTAACGGGATGGGGGAAGGGGAGACAGATCATTATAATGCAGCTTCTCCTCCTCCTCCATAAGGAGAAAAATGGAAATAACTTCCTACAAGCGACAACTGCTCTTCAGTATCCCCGTTAGATCCTAAAAACAAACCCCCCCCCCAAAAAAAAAGGTCTTTCGAGGCATTCGCATGTGCAGAAAACCCAGGCACTTTACTTTGCAGCAACATAGTCCCTTCAAGATATTCCAGAGCTTGGGGGATGGGGAGTGACCCATAAATCTACGCCCCCCCCCACATACACACACTCCTTCCAAATGGGGGAGCAAATTCTGTCAAATCAAAAAAAAATTAAAATGTCACCCCGCCTCCTCCCTCCTCCGCCACCCCAACACACACACACACACACACACACACACACACACCCCACTCCCCGCCTCCTCCGCATCGAGGGTCGATTCTTTGAAGAAAAAAAAAAAATGTTTTAAAGCTACAATTTCTCCTCAGCGAAGGATTCGCACCCATTCACCCGCCGCCTCCCTTCCCTTAACAGGGGGCTCCGCTCGGCCGCGTCCCCACCAGGGCCTCGGCCCCGCTTGCCCTATGCCCCCAGGGGCGCGCGGCCCCCGACCCCCGGTTCCCACACGCGCCCCTCACTCCGCCCGGGCCAGACGCGCCCAGGCGGGCAGATGCGCCGCACCTGGATGTAGTTGTTCTCGCAGTAATCTGCCACCCGTTCCAGGTTCGTGTAACTGTCGAAGAGGGCCCGGCGGCCCCCCGGGATTTCCTCCTCCAGCAGCATCTGCAGCTCCGCCATCTTCACATCCTCCTCCTCAGACCGCAGAGGTAGCGGCGGCGGCAGCGCCTGGGAAACCCGAGATTGAGAGAGGAGGAGCAGCGGCGGCGGCGACGACGGCGGCGGCGGCAGCGGCGGCGGCCGCAACTCGGGAGGAGCGAGAAACAGGCCCCCGCTCCGCGCGCGCGCGCGCGACAGGGGAGGGGGCAGCAAGAACGGGGGGCGGGGCGCGAGCGGGCCGACTCCGAGGACGGTCACCGCGGCGACGGCCGGCCGGGCGCGCGCACGCGCGCTCCCCTCCCTCCGCCCCCAGGCGCCCGAAAAAGATTCCCACCCTCGGCCGCGCCGCCTGCCCCTCCTCCACTTCCGGCGTCGCCTAGCGACCGCGGGAGTGTGGCCGGGATGCGCGCGGAGTCGGGCGCGCGCGGTTAACCCTTCGGACCCCGCGGTGGTGACGCTGCGGAGTTCTCCCGGCGGCCTTTGTTACTCGGGCAGGAACGCGCCCCTCAGCTCCGCAGCCGCCTTTCGTCGAGCCCTCCACCGCCGCAGCCGCGTTATCGCCACGCAGGAGTCCAGCCGCGTGGGGGGCGATCGGCCTGAAGAACCTCAGCCACCTGAGACAATGTCAGCCCACAGAACTTCCATGCAGTTTTAGGAATTGCCTCACTTTTCCTTTTTTTTTTTCCTTTCAGCTTTGACCTCAGCTGTCCTCTTCTGTAATGATAAGTGCATTCCAATGTCCTAAGCCCAAATTTTCCTGCACTCCAGTTTTTCCGCACTTAATTTGTTCACTTCTCCCCCCCCCCCCCAAAAAAAAAAAAAAACTGTTTCTCCCGGCCGGGAGGAATTTCTGCCCTTGGTTGCCAGCCGCCAGAACCTCACTCTTTGTGCTCATCCTCTCTCTGATCAGCTTCCTAGCTGGCTACCTGGCCTGTCAATTCTGGTTCTGTCCGTCTCGCTGCATCTTTTCTTCCTCGAATCCGTCTTTGAAGGTTTGAAAAATAGATGTTGTTGGTACAGTATTAAATTTCTTATCTATAAGGTATCACATGACTAAAATAAAACTTTATGTGGCTGTATCTTTTAAATGTAAATACTATAAAAAATTCAGTCTTGAATAGAGATTTTGATCTTGCAGTTATTCTAATTTTTGTCAGCTGCTGAGGTAGAAGGCTCATGAAGTCCAAGTTGATTACATTTGAAGTTTAGAACAGAATTCATTATTTCAACTTTTGCTTTTAAGGTTACCAGGCCAGTGGAAATCTTAAAAGCAAAATCACCTTCCTCCTCCCTTCTCTCCTGTCTTCTCTTAGACTATGGGAAGATATTATACTTTCTCTCCAGAAAAGTCATTTTAATACCATGCCAATACAAATTTCTCATGCAATATACCATTTAACTTTACTATATACAGATTGTTTTTTGAGTTTTCCCTGTGAAACCCAAATTAAAGGCTATTGAAAATGTTGGTACCATCCAAATACTTTCATTCTTAACCATTTTTTTTCTTTTGGGGGTCACACCCAGTGATACTCAGGGGTTACTCATGGCACTACACTCAGAGATTACTCCTGGCCATGCTTGGGGGACCATAAGGAATGCTGGAAACAAGCTACCTGCTGTACTATTGCTCTGGCCCCCTTCTTGACCACTTTTAAATATCAGGATTAGTCGTTTACAGACCAAAGTATAAGGAGCTCTCGAAAAATGAATTCTGGAAACATAGCTCAAGTTAGAACACACAACACTCTTGAGACTCATTATTGATGAAACAAGATAGTTATCTAAATGACATAAACTTGGCAAGGAATAAGCCATTATGAGTAATCAAGTGAATGAAAGATTAGATAAAGCAAACTTTTCTTTCAGATCAGACTTTAATGGCTCAAATAGACCACAGTTAAACTGTAAAAAGGCCTCCAGGTGAGAAGACATTCTTCTCCCATTATACTTATTCCCATATAGCACCCTTACATATAAATTAGAAATTAGCTCAATAAGCAAATCTGAGGGGTGATTCTTCATGTAAGGAATCACTGTATTAAGAATCTAGTACTTTCTAATTAACCTGTGACAATTTCTTGAATATTAGCTTCAATATCTGGAAAACCAAACGGCTAAACTCAGGCTAACTGCCCTCAAACTGCAGCATGTTTTGGTAGCACCTGGAAGGCTTATTAAACCTATAGGATTGTTAGGGACCACCATTAGATGTTTTGTGATGTCTGGCATTCCTAGATGTGCTCAAGACATAATCCTGGAAGTGCACTGAGTGATACTACTGGTGAGGCTCAGGGCTTCATATGGAATTTAAAGGATTGAATCCTGGTCAAGACAAGCACCTTACCTGCTGTACCTTCCCCCCACCCACCTTTGGAACGGGGGTGTCATATACTGTTATCTAAGGGCTTACTTCCAGCAAAGGGGTGTCATATACTGTTATCTAAGGGCTTACTTCCAGCAAAGGCTCAGGGATCAATCCTGGCAGTGTTTAGGGGACCACCTCTAGAGCTGTCTCTAGAGCCCCTAGATTCTATTAGATTAGTCTGAAGTTCCAACAACTTCCCAGCTGATAATGTAACTGCTCTTTTTGCTCCAAAGGTATATGATTCTAAGTTCTTGTACCTAGAAATCTCAAGCAAGAGGAACTTTTTAAACTCAGAAGAAACTAAGGATTCAAGGACAGAATTCTGCTGCCACCAGGATAATTTTTTTTTCTGCTTTTTTGGGTCATACCCGGCAATACACAGGGGTTACTCCTGGCTTTGCACTCAGGAATCACTCCTGGTGGTGTTCGCGGGACCATATGGGATGCTGGAAATCGAACCCGTGACAGCTGAGTGCAAGGCAAATGCCTTACCTGCTCTACTATCACTCCAACCCAGATAACTTTTTAAATTTTATTTATTAATTTTTATTAGTGAAACACCATGAGGTACAGTTGTAGAGGCATTGAGTGGCAATCATGTTCAGTCTATAGTCTACTTTCAGCATGCATCTCTCATCCTGGGAGGTTCCTCCCAACACCCTTTATTTGGTGCTCCCTTCTCTATCTGAGCTGCCTTTTTAGATAATTTTTTTAAAGTTAGTCCAAAGAGATAGTAAACAGGCAAGGCACATACCTTGCATACAATCACTCTCATACCACCCCCAGCACCACCACAAGAGATCCCTAAGCACAAAGTCAGGAGTAATCTCTAAGCATAGCCAGGTGTAGCCCCATCCCCTCCCTACAAAAACAGGAAAACAACTATAATTTCTACAAAAGTGGGAATATAGGCCCAGGATGAGACTCAGGTAAAGTGCCTGCCTTGCATGCCTATCGTGGGGGAAAAAAAATGTAGGAGTACATGTATATATACAGTATGTATATAATCTCAGTCATAGAATTGTTGACTTTTTGATTTTGCTCATCTTAATTTTTCTATTATGAATGAGTATTGTTTTCCTGACTCCAATAAGATTATTATATCTCCAAATCAGAGAAAATACTTATATTAATGCAACCCAGTTGACATTTTTAAGACAATTTTATTATCAGCTTGACTTTTAATGCAAAAGCATTAAAAGCTCCTATATTTTTCATATATTAACTTAAATAATAAGTGCAGTTGATTTTTTTAAATCCTATTTCCAGTGGCTGGAGTGATAGCACAGCAGGTAGGGTGTTTGCCTTGCATATGGCCAACCCAGGTTCTATTCCCAGCATCCCATATGGCTCCCCGAGCACTGCCAGGAGTAATTCCTGAGTGCAGAGCCAGGAGTAACCCCTGTGCATTGCGGAGTGTGACCCAAAAAGAAAAAATAAATAAATAAGATAAAATAAAATAAAATGAAGTCTGGGCTGAAAAGAATCCAACAAATGGGGCACTTGCCTTGCATGTGACCAACCCAGAAAAAAATAATAATAAATAAATCCTTTATTTCCAATAAATTATACCTTTGCTTTGTCCCAAATTTAAATTCTCATTACCATATCTTGAAATAACCACAGTACCTAAAAGTTTGGGGCTTTTGAGTTCATCATAGCCTTAAATAAGAATATTTAAAAAGGGGGCTAGGGGTGGAAAGCAGTGAATAGTACATCAGGTAAGGGACATGACTTGCGCACAGCTGACAGGTTTTACCCCAGAATCCCATATGGTCACAAGCACCACCACCCTCACCCCGCCAAAAAAGAAAAAAGTTACATATGGGGATATACCATATGTCCATGATACAACCTGTAGGAATTATATTCAAATGCTTAGTAATAGTTTCCTGTGAGAGAAAACAAAATAACTCCTCTCCTGTGAAACAGAATTTTTTCCATTAAAACATGACAATGGATAACATAAATCTGAAGCTATTAATAATATAGTTTGATGTATAGGTAGAGTTATGGGGCAGGTAATTTATCTCAAAAGGCTATGTCTGTAAAGAATAAACATTCTTCAATTCTTTAGTTCCAACTAAAATTGGCTTTGTATGTGCCTCCCCAAAATAGCGAATTTGAGAGCTAATGCAAAATAAAAAAATGAAAGGTGCTAGATTATCATTTCCCAAAGCTAGATTTCTGAAATTAGCTCTTGTTCATTCTTTTGTTTTAAAATATATTAAATTTTTTTTGGGGGGGGGGGTGGTTAGACCACACCACACCCAGAAGTCCTCAGAGGCTATTCATGGCTCTCTGCTCAGGAGTGAGTCCTGGAAGTGCTCAGGGAACCATATGTAGTGCCAGAGAATGAACTGTGGTGGCCTGCATTCAAGATCAGTTTCTTACCCCCATAGTATCTATCCAACCCCCAAATTATATGAAATATTTTATAAAACTTCATGCCTCACAACATATTAACTACATTTCATTACTGACCTTCATTTAGTAACATGAATTCTTGAGTTTGAAGTCTATCAGTTTTTCTTATGCACTAATTCTGCTAGAATCCATATATGATGAACATTAATTAAGCTAGAGCAAGCCCATTCCTGGTAAGTTGGCTGACTATTTTATTTGTTTTTAGACCTATCTAGTAGTGTTCAGGGACTATTTCTGGCTCAGTGTTCAGGGGTCATACCCAGTAGTGCTTGGGGAAATATGTTATACTGAGAATCAAACCCAGGCCTCCTGCTTTCAAAATATGTGCTCCAAACAGTTATACTATCTCTCTATCATCATTTTCATAACTTTTAAAATAACTATCCATTTCTTGTCAGTTTCAGTAATACAGCAGACAAGACTATAT